ACAGAAGGAATCAATCACCTTTAAGAATTTTAAAGTCTCTCTCTCTCAAAGAGCTCCATTTATTTGTAAAAAGCTTGTAAATAAATCATTGGTAAACATTACAAAATTAAATGCATTTTTAAAAGCTTGTCAGTATACATAAAACTGATCAACATAGTTCCTTTAAAAAAAAAGTATGCTCATCCTACCCTTGATATAAAATGCCTGACACCGTCCTCTGACAGGGCCACCTAGAGACGCTCCCATTATGTGGGGTTTCCATGGAGAGGAGCTAGAAATGCAATCTGCACCATGCTTCTAAATTAGCAGATATTCATGTATCAACTTTCTTGAGAGAAGGCGAGCCTCTTTCACCTCTATATCTGCTCAACACTCAGTTCGTCCCATTTGGTCTGATGCTGACTAGGCACAGTGGTGACCAGAATTTAATTCTAAGGATGAGCATAGTCTCTTTCCTCCTGTAAAGGCATAGTGATCATGAATTTTAGAGTCACTTGAACTCGCGTCAAATCCCTGCTCTACCTCTTACTAGCCACGTGACCTTCAACAAACATTCTACATGCGTCTCTAGTTCCTTGTAGCTAAAATGAATGTGCTAATACTTTTCTCTCATGCGTGTATTTACTTACGGAGCAGCAGCAGCTATCTGTGCCAGGCATGGTGCTGGGAGTGCTACTGCCAATAAGTCAGACAGTCTGATAACACTTTAGTGGGCAAGGAGACAATTAAATTACAGTCTAATAAGTGCCCTGATAGCCCCAGAATAGGAAGAAAGATAACTTATCTTGTCCTAAGGGAAGGCAATCTTCTCAATGCCTTCCGGGGGAGGCATTTTGATTTCTCAGTGAGGAGTTGAAGGATGAGGAGGTAGTAGTCAGGTGAAGTGAGTAGGAATGGAGAGGCAGCAAAAGTTATATTCAAAGACTGATTTTTGTTTTTCCAGCAATTTATTTAGCCATATTCATTGTGGGAATTATAATAATTTTATAAGCTAATAGCATATATAAGATAATATCTTTCAATAAGCCAAGTAATGAAATAACCTACTCCAAACAAATGACAGATTAATCATGCTATTTTTCCAGGCAAGGGGAAGTGAAGGAATAAAGTCCAAATTTTAACAGAGGTGTACTTTTTTATACAAGGACAGAGATCATCCAACTTAGAGCTGATTTCTAGTTGCCAGAGCAAAAGTAAAAGTCTCCTGTTGCTAAAGGACATTGCTAGGGAACAAAGACACCAGTGTTGGCTTTTGTTCTTTTGATCTTTTTCAAGGGGGCTCTGAGTGGTTTGTCACCAATGTCATTACTGACATCCAGGCATAACTTACTTCATTCTTACATCAAAACAACTTTACTTCTAGCCATGGCTGGTGTGGCCCAGTGGATTGAGCCCCGGCCTGCAGACCAAAACATAGCTGGTTCAATTCCCAGTCAGGGCAAATGCCTGGGTTGTGGGCCAGGTCCCCAGTTGGGGGCATGTGTAAAAGACAACCAACCGATGTTTCTCTCACATATCGATGTTTCTCTCACATAGCGATGTTTCTCTCCCTCCTTTCCTCTCTCTGTAAAAATAAAAAAAAATTTATTAAAACAACTTTTTTTGGTCTTTGTTATGGTCATAAACAACTTCACTTAAGTCACAAACAAGTGGATTTTAAAGTATACTAAACCAATACACATGACCTTGAAAGAACGTGTTCATGTGGCTTGTGCATATTGTGTGAGGTAGATCTGTGAGAAAAGAGCTGGTGTTGAGAAATCACAGGAGGAATTTGGGAAGTAGAGAGGCCTGATCAGATCTGCATTTTAGAATTATCACTTTGGCTGCAGTATGAAGGATTGTTGAGGTATAGCAAGGGAGGACTCTGCCAGGGAGCTCTATTATAAGCCTAGCGCAATAATCTAGGTGAAAATATGCCAGGTTAAAGCAACAGGAGGTATTAGATAATCATAACAAATTTATCACATAGATCCAGGCAGTGTTCTGTGTTTCACATATACTGTTTCATTTAATCCTAAATACCAGAACGATCCTTGGAAGTAGGTCCTGTTATTATCTTCATTTTACAGATGAGAAATGCATCGAACAGAAATACTACATAACCTGCTTAACGTTATACAGGGTTGGGATGTGAACCCAGGCAGTCTGGTTCCAGAACCTGTGTACTTGACTGCCCTGCTGTAGACCTAACAGATTTCAGAGATTTACTAAGAATACAGGAATGAAGAGGAAGAGGGGGCAGTTGCAGATGATCTCCAGATTTCTGGCTCACAACTGAGTAGCTCTGGGTGTCATTGTCTGGGCTGAGATGCATACTAGGGAAGGGCAGTTTGGGGAGGAAAGATAAGTTCCTTGTGAGACATGTTGAACTTGAATTACAAGGTGACAGCCACAGGCAGATATCGAGAGTATCATTGGATATATATGTCTAGAATCTAAGAGAGAGATTTTAAACAGTCTCTATATATTTGGGAATCATTAGCATGCAGCCACGCTAATGAATCAGATACTGTGAAAGAATGTTTCAAATTAGAAAAGAAGATAATTTCAGAAGAGTCCAGAGGAACATCAATATTAAGTGGCAGGCAAAAGAAGAGTCATTCACAATGGAATGCAGAGTGACTAGAGAGATGAGAGGAATACAAGGCATTTTGGAAGGAATAAGACTCCTCAAAGAGCAAATAGTGTTAAATGCTGTGGAGGGTTCAGCAAAGTGGAGTGTGGAAGTGTCTATTGAATGCAGTCACAAGATTGTTATTAGTGACCTTGGAGAGAACAGTTTCAGTAGAATGTTAAGAACAATAGTTAGAGTGTAGTGGGCTGAGAATTGAATGCAAGGTTAAGGATGTGGAGGCAACAACAAAGAATTTCACCAAGAGGGCTTGTTTGTGAAGGGAGGAAAGCTATCTGAAAGGAAATGCAGAGTAAAGGAAAGATTTTTTAAAATTTATTTTTACTGTGCAAGAAATTTGATGTTTAAATGCTAATGAGAAGAATCCAGAAAAAACTGAGAGGTGCTAAAAACAGGAGTGGGGATTATGTCTTAAGAGAGTCCTTGAGAAGGTGGAGGGGTGGATCCTGAAAGGGAGAGTTTTGTTTAGGCAGTAGGAGGGAGTTTTTTTCTTTGTAACAAAGGAGAAGAGAGGAGTGAGAAGGAAGATGTTTTTAAATTTGGTGGTGGGAAATGGGAAGAGTTCTTGATGGCTTTTATTATCTCTCTGAGGTGGAAGGCCTTATCACTGTTTGAGAGTGTGGGAGCCATTGGAGTTGAAATTAAGAGGAAAACAGGTTTTAAACAGAACCAGTGATTTTTAGGGTAGTGAAAACACTGTATGATACCGTAACGATGTATACATGTCTTTATACAGTTGTACAAACCCAGAGAATGTACACCAACAAGGGAAGTCCTTAATGTAAACTATGGACTTTAGGTGATTATGTGTCAAAGTAATGTCATCAACTGTAAAAAATGTACTACTCTGGTGGGAGATGTTGATAATGTGAAAGGCTACGCATGTGCATGGGCAGGGAGGATATGTGGAGGGTCTGTACCTTCCCCTCAATATTGCTATGAACCTAAAATTGCTCTTTAAAAAAAAGGATTCATTAACAAACATACAACCCAGACCAAATGGAGTTGGAGATCAAAGTGACTGAGTAAACAGAAGAAATTTCCAGTAGAAGGGAGCAGATAAAAAGAGGATAGAGAAGTTCATGGACTTTGAATTCTACTTAAAGTTACGGTGTGTGACAGGCAATCTTTAAGGTGATCACTAATGATCCTGCTTCCTATTATTCTTTCTCTTGCATAGTAATTCCTACTTCCTTGAGTGTGGGCAGGACCTAGTGACTCTTCTAATGAAGAGAATATAGCAAAGTGATGAGATGTTACTTCTGAGATTAGGCTATAAATGCCTCTGTCTTGTCTCCTCTTGCTCTCGCTTGCTCTGATGGAAACCAGCTACCATATTGTGAGCTGTGCTCTGACCCCAAAACGACCATGGGATATGAGAAATGTGGGAGAATTAGCAAACAACCTCTTAAAAGAACTACAGGATAAATGGCGTTTTCGGAGCAGAGCTAGGTTTTAAAGATTAAGATTAAATACCGTAATTCGTAAAGTCCTTGGCTTCACATAGTGGGCACTCGAACAATATTAGTTGTTTCTAAACATTCACTTAAATATTTGTATACCATAGTTCCCCGCCCGCCCCCGCAATCTTTTCATCCAAAAGAGAGAAGGGCTAGGTGAGGGGATGGGAATGGGTGGTTGGTTGAAGGCTTGTGGGGTTCAACACACTCTATCACGGCACTGTCTCCTCCCGGCTCAGGGAGATCATACAGCGAAGCTTTTCCTGACTTCTATTCTTTCCAGCAACAAACAGTACTCGCAGCGCCTTACAAGCGCTTGACACCAGCGAGACACAAACGAGCGAGATACACTCCGGACTTCAGGAAAGTGCAGTCCCATTTCGTGCCAAGGCCTAGGTAGAAGGTTTCACGTTGCTCAGACTTTTCCAAGTTCTTCCCAGACTTTTAGCTAAGGTAAAATATCTCAAGTCAGTGTGCAGCCGGTTCTGAGCCCTCCAATGCTTGGCCTCTCACTCCTCGTTCCTGGTAAGCATACCGCAATCCAAATGCGCCCTCCCAGTACGCCGGCATTCACGTGAGCTCCCCTGTGGCCGGCGGGGCGGGGCGCAATGGGCGGGGCCAGGCCGGTAGGCGAGGCAGGCCTTACCCTTGGGGCTCCCAGGGCCCACCGCGCCCCGCGGCCAGATGCTGACGTGTCCTTTCCTTCTCACTACACCTCCCGACACTACCTACTAGGCTGCCCCGGAAGTCCCGCCCCACACTTTATCCGTCACTGCAAATCAGCTCTTTCAGCGCTTCCTGGAGTTCGCCACCCGTTTTGGAACCAGGAGGCGGGGCTTCGCGAGCAGGGTGTCTATTGGCTTGAGGTCTGGCCGGCTCTGGGTGCTAATTGGCCGGAGGGCGGGGACGCTCTGGCACGCTTGCGCGGCGAATAGAACGTGTGGCGGCGGCCGAGATCGCGTCTCCTTTTTCGATCCTAGTCCCGCTGCTGCTTCTGTGAGCACCCGGCGCGTCCGTCCGGTCTGTCGTCCGCAGCTCGTCGCCCGCCCGCTCCTTGCCGCGGCGGCCCCTCACCAACACCGACACCCACATTGACACCTCCAAGCCGGCCCTCCGCCTTACTCGCTGTCTTTCCATCTCCACACATGGCCTCCTCCGCGCAGAGCGGCGGCTCCTCCGGGGGACCCGCGGTCCCCACCGTGCAGCGGGGCATTGTCAAGATGGTGAGAACGGGGCCCCAGATACCTACCCCACCGCCTGTCTCCAGGCGGGAGTCTGGCAGTGGCTCCTCTTCCCCTCCCGCCAGACTGCAAAGTGTCCCAGGTCCCCTTTTCTATGTCCCCTTCTTCACTTTACACCATTCTCAGAATGCCCTCTCTTGAAAGAACCCGTCACGGACTCCGCTTCGTATATTGCCTCCCGAACTCCCTGGCATCAGGGGTCACAGTGATTTCCGTGGTCGCGGCACTCTGATCTGGCTGTTCACCAGGACAGACCGAACAGTGATTGATTAACGGAGATAATTGGTTGATATATGCCTTCCCAGCCCCCCCGTCCTTCTGTCCATTTTGACATTTGCTGAGCAGTTTGTAGTTTTTCTAGGTCCTGATACCCGCTCTTCTCTGGAACTCTAGGAGTACTTGGCCATCTTGAAGCTCTTCTGTTTCCACCGACACTGTTAGTTACTTCAAGTTTCCTTACTCTCTGGCCCTCATTTCGCTTCATTTCTTCCCCACCTCTTGTGTCAAGTGTGTAGTCCTGGGATATTTGTGCTCTCCCCTCCTTTTGACTCTTAATCTGTTAGGCCGGTAGGAATCTTAGCGATTATTATTGTTCTCCCACCCCTTAACAGTGACTTGCCTAAAGTCACATGGTGGTTTGGTTTGGAGCCAGGCCCAGAGCCCAAGTGTTCTGATTCCCAGGCTGTGACTCTTAACACTGTAAATTCTGCCTGCTTTTTTTCTCCCCTTACTTACGTTCTTGAATTTGGAATTCAAAACGCTGTAAAGTTCATTTAAAAAAAATTTATCCCTCGTTCCATGATAATTTTGTATGCATTCCCGTTAAGGCTTGTCCCCTCTGTTGTCCTTCCCCCAACCCTCCCAAATCCTGGAACCTGACATTTCTTGGTTGTTACCAGATTTTCTGGTTGTGATGACTGTGAACTTCCGTATTTTTGTTTCAGATTAAGTTCTGACTTTTCCATTTGGAACAGCAAATATCCTTCATGACACTTTCTCCCAAAGTGCCACAGTTTTTGCTGTTGTAGAAAGTTTAAAAAACATTCTATTTTCTTAGCCCATGGTCTTTCACAGGATTGAAACATTCTTCAGCTTATGTCTGTGTAAATTAGATTTCAAGGATTTCTTTTTTTCCCCAATTTTCATGTATTCACTTGGTAGGTAATATTTTGCCACCAGTTGAGATCCTTAGGGTTTTCAGTATTGCTTTCCCGCTTTTATTTTTACATAAGTGGAGAGTCAGAATTTATCAGAAACTGAATGAGAAGGGACTTTCCAAGATCCACATATTTTTCCCTTGTTGAGATACTGACCTGACCCACGAAAGGATTATGCTCAAGGGGCTCCTCTTTCATTGACCTTTTCATTTGCACTGATCTTGCCCTTTACCGAAGAAGCAAAGCATGGATTGGTGGTCCGATGGTGGGATTGGCAGCACTGAGCGGATCTCTCTTGAGTTTTTCCATTTGATAAGGCCCCTCTCTTTTGTGGGGTGGGAGTGGAATGAGGCCAGACACATTTTTACTTCTGCCAGTGCTGGAGGCTTCCGGTCCGTCTGGATTCTCTGAGGTGCCCATGCCTGCCCAAAGAATACCCCCATGGGTACTGAATATCAATAATCACTTGTTTATTAAGGGTCATGTCTTATGCCGAATATTGTATAAACATATCTCATTTATAATACCTAACAAGTAGATACAGTTATTTGCTACATTTTCCAGATGGGTAATCTGAGGTTTAGAGAAGATAAATAGTATACCCAAGGGCAGGCATTTTTTATTATTACTAAAAAGCAGAGCTGGGATTTGAACTGAGGCCTGACTGCTAAAGCACATGCTTTTCAGCATGGGCTCTGATACCTCTAACTCCAGGGCATGAATTTATAAGGGTGGGGCCAGTGATGCCTGGCCGCAAAATTGCAGGACAGTGAAGCTGACTGTAATTGAGCTGGGGAAAGATTAGATGTTACTCCTTGTCTTTTCCGGGAGCTGCCCTTGTGGTGAGTGACTTCATTTGGTGCTTGTGGTTGTTGCGTGCAGAGGATTGTGGTGTGGAAGACACATTTGCGTTTGAGAGGAGGCTTTTAAAATGCAGTAATTGAGTAGTCTGTATTGCCGTTTTTCTGTGACCAAACTGCTTGGGGTGGGTGGGTGAGTTCCAGGCAGAAATTAGGGGAAGAAAGCCCAGTGAATTGCAGAGCGCCAGGCAGTTTGTGCCAAGCTTAAAAGTCTTGTCTGGAATAAAAAATCGACCACTGGCAAATTGCTCTGTGTGAAGCTCTTTTGCTAAGCAAAGTTGTATTTTCCTGGAGAGTAATCGTTTCCATCGGTACTAGGAACTGCGTTGTAAGAACTCTCCAAAGGAAGACAGGAAAGTGAGAAGGAAGTAATTTGATGAATAGGAAAACAGTAATCACAGCTTTTCAGCCTTTTGGGAGGGACAGAAACTGGAACACTAACCATAGGCATGTATTTCAGAGTGAGTCCTCTGGATTTATCTGTACTTAGGCAGAGCTGAAGGTCCGAACAGATCTAGGCTTGAGGTTTGCTGCAGTGAAGAGGAATAATCCTTTTTTGTCAAAAGAATGGGCTATCGGACCGGGGAAAGTGCTAGTTTTTCTGGTCTCTGCCTTGCATTCCTAGTAAGTCCTGGTGATTTTTTTAAGGTTAAAGAAGAAAGAATTTGAGAATCAAGTTGTAAAAAATTTTTACATTTGACCAGTTTTTTTAAATGATGGTGATGGCTAGATGCTGTGCTTTGCTATTTGAATGGAAGAAAGGGACAGAGTTGGTTCTGGAATGTGTTTAAGGAGGAAGTGGGCAGGCAGTAAGTTCACACAAGCATTTTGGAGATGTTCTGTTCCTGAAAAGGCAAGGATAACGGAAGACTGAAGGTGGATTTAAATATTTTCTGAGTTGGAATAGACTGGCAAGTGTGTGGGCAGACAAAATATAACCTGGAAAAGTAAATATTTCTGTCAATCTGATACTACTTTCTCAAAATCCTAAAGGATTCTAACTTTGGGTTTTGTTGAATAGTTTGCTAGACAGTATTTAGCTGCAACAGAATATCGTCAGTGCATGCTAAATAGATGAGGTTTGGAGAAATTTTGGGGTACTTTTGTCTAAAATTCACTCACCCCGTTTAGTAGCTACATAAAGTTGGCTATTTTCTCTGGTTTTACTGACCTGAGTTGCTTTCTCATCTGGGTTGCTTTTCTGTTTTTGTTCCGTTATAGAAGCCCTTTCTGTATCTTTTTACTCTTTCCCATCTAATTTGGTATGTTTGCATGTTTTTTCAATCTAGAGCCCATAGGCTGCTTTTACAACAGCAGGATATATTGTCCACAGTTCTTGAATCTCCTGTGCTTATCAGGAGCAACCGTGGGAGCAGCATATCTTATCTTGCTTGTGGTGTGGAAGGCCAAAGCGAGCTCAGTGCCAAATCCCAGTTCCCATTTTACCCCACTCTTTCTAATTGCCTCCAAAAGGGGCAAAAGAAATCCCTCGGCAAGACTTTGGTTTTATGCTAAGAACCATGATTCTCACTAGGTGGCTGTGGCAGAGGGTCACCTAAAGGAGGAAGGAGATGGCCCATATTTTCTCCTTCGACAGGAATTGTGCTATCAGGTTGTGGTAAAGTGGGACGTCGACTTCCTGGTGAACAGCTTAGTGGAAATTTCTCCAGCAGGAAATTTCCTCCAGCCTGTGGGAAATGGTACCTATAATTTAGACATTTTAGCTAAGTGTTTCTTAGGTTTCTGAACTAAGAAGTATGTGTCTTTCCATGGTGTAGTATGGACAGAGTGTAGTAGTGTGTTGACTTGCTTCTTCATATGTGCACTTACCTCATGCAGGCTGTGAAGGGAAAAAAACTGCAAACCTTGCCCAAGCTATTGAAACTACCCTTATTCTACTCAATGGGACAAGATGGCTGAATAACGATACTTTATAGAACCACTTGCAAAGAGGTAGGGAGAATAGGACGGAAGACTTTTCCCTGTAGTCTTAAAATTGTCTACTTCACAGCAGGTAAACAAGGTAACTTTCAGTCAAGATTGTATGTAAAGGAACACTTAAGTTTTTACTACATCTTAAAGGCTTTCTTTCATTTCTGGTGAAAAGGAAGCATCTGTCCGGCTCTAATTATGCCAACAGTGGCTCCTACCATGTACTAATGATATAGATTGATGAGCAATCATATTTCCTTTCTTTCTTAAACACATACTTTTTGATCACCTGCTGTGATGAGCTCCCTCTGGGTATTGGAGAAACAGTGGTAAAAACGTAGATCAGAATCCTTCCCTTACGATTCATGGGGAAGACAGTCAGTGCACAAGTAAATACTAAATAAGCATGGTAACATAAGTAGTGATTTCAGGTAGGGGAATGTGGCATAGTGGCTGGGGATAGGGAAGGGGTAGCTTATTGTGGTAGGGTGTTTAGCAAGGGCTTTTCTCAGCATTTGCTCTGAGATCTGATGGACAGCAAAGAACGAACCAGAGAGGAAGTGTGTTCTCGGCAGACTGAACAGCAAGTCCAAAGGCCCTAGGGTCACCACTGATGATTATCTTCAGTGTTCCCATAGTAATTCTTAAATTTCTCCCAAGTTCAGTGCTCCACATAATTGGTATCCATTCAGTCTGTTATTAATGTGTGTGTTTGAGGGTGATAAAAGGCAGAAAGGCAGCAGAGGTGGTCATTGTTCTGGTGCCCTGGTGAGATTAGTAGCTGACATTAAGCCCACTGAATAAATGTAACCAATGGCAGACTGGTAAAAACATACCTGCTCTTGTTCATATTCATGTTTCTTCTAGGGCCAAGACTAAGGTTTTTTTGGACTTCCTGTCAGCCAGACCTATGTATTCCCAAAGTCACTACAGGTATCCTGTGCTTTTCAGAAGTTCATATTATGCCCCTTAGCTTTTATGAAAGACCTACATTTGTTTATTTTCATTAACTGAAAACAATTGAAAAAGAATT